CACTAGAAGGCATCTTAAGATGTTTTATTTAATATTTCAATTTTTTTGGGGAACAGTAACAAGTTATTAAATGACAAACAATATACTTTAATTATGTATTTACAGTAATTTCTTAATATTGAATGTGCCTCGAGACTTGATCACTACTTTTCAATCACGAGGCTTTCTGGATGTTAAACTTTCTCAGTCTACTCTAGAACTATAGTCAGATGCAAAGGTTTGAACACTCCCTGGTGAAATTACATGTTTTGTTGATTTTCTGGGTGAAAATAAGTTAACATATGCTCTACAGAGACCAAATTTAATAATATGGCATTTTCAAATTTTTGTGCACAATACATATATTTATTTAACATATAGTTTAACATATTGGGAAAAAAACTAAAATATAATATGTGCCATACCTTTGGCAGAGGCTATTTTCTTTTTCATTTTTCCCCAGTATGTTAAATGGTGCATTAAAATTGTTCACAGGTTTGTTCTATGTAGAGGATGTGTACTTATTTTCAACAAAACATGTATTATATTAGGTTAAAAAAAGCTAGAACACTCTTTTAATGATGGAGCTCAGGATGATAAGAGAGGAGAGGCGCTTAAGCAGCACGTCACAATGGAGCGATAGCACGGCAAGGATTTAATGATGAGCCTCTGGCTGCCTTTTTCTTTCTCTTCCCTCCTCTCTCTCTTCCTGCTCTGCTTGCCTTCTTCCACTTCCACACCACTTCCCTGTCAGAAAGGACGCTTCAATGTGGCCGTGGGAGGGCTGCTAAATAAAACCGTAATAACAGCAAGTGACAACGCCGCCACCCACCTGCATTGAGCTCGCTTTATTTCCGTTCATGCTATTTACATTCCCATTCAACACATCTGGAGGCGTTCAGTTATCTGAGACACTGATGTACAAGTGATGTGAACAGTTCTTATGATGAACTCCATCCATACATAGTACAACACAGTGTTTGTGTCTTAAAGAAACAGCTCAGTGAAAAATCTACTTTAAATTATTCCCCTTTTCTCAAATGCAATCAAGCAGACATGTATCGTGCCCAAAGTTTGCTTCTGTAGTTTTGCACTGGCCTTCTTGAGTTGCTAAGCCATCTCAAATAGCTTGTACCTTGTAGCCACAGTGCTAAATAAAAGAAGCAAACTTCAGTCTTGATGATGTTGTTCTTTTCTGTTGAGAAACTTTTTCTGCTGTTCTCTTCAGCTCAAATTGAGTTGGGCAGGACTAAACTTGCTGGAGATGATGGTAGATCTGCCAAAGTACCAATCAGAGTTAACAGTATGTCTAAATCAGCTACTTATGTTCCACTACTTCACAAAATGTGACTGCTCTCCTGCTGAGTCCCAGCCAGAACTCCCAGCAAGTAGATTATTTGAGCTTTTCTAAATTTGTTAACAGTGCTTGTTTTGAAGGTTGTTTGTAGCATAGCTAGACACTGCTTCCTACTTGCACTGCTGGGGGATCCTGACCACTGAAGAACAGGGTAAAAGGGGTCTAACAAAGTATGCAGAGAAACAGATGGACTACAGTCTGTAACTGTAGAACTACAAAGTGCACCTATATAGTAAGTGGAGCTGATAAAATGGACAATGAGCATAGAAACAAGGCGGTGCTCATAATGTTATGCCCGATTGGTGTATGTTTCTTGAGTATAACACCGGTAAATGCTTTTCTGTGGCAAATTTCTACTATTAAAACAAAAATTCTACAACTGAAACCACAACAGGGGCTTTAAAAACCACTTCAAATCCTCCAGACTCCTTTGCCTTTAAACGTTTAATTTGTCTGCGCACTTGTGCGAACCCTAAACATTATTGCGCAAGCGTGTTTATCTTGTGTCTTGGGCCTGAACATAAACTCTGTGAGATACAGCATTCAAAAGCTGTCCTCGATAAGCAGCCAAACAGCCTGCTTAGCATTTAGCACTGCTCTCTTCTCAGGCTTGGCAGTATGGAGAGGGTTTGGATGGCACCTCTAATGCCGCAGAGCCAATGAGGGGGGACAATTAAATTAGAGTGAGGTAATCCCCCCCGCATGCAAATCCTCAAAATGATAGCTCCGCTCAAACTGATAAAGAACGACTAGAGGATCAAATCCCTGGCAGTGAGATGACTCAGACTGACACTGAAATGAAAAAAAATGAAGGGAGGGCAGACACAAAGATGGGAGAGAGAGAGAGAGAGAGAGAGAGAGAGAGAGAGAAAGAGAAAGAGAGAGAAGAAAGAGATAGAAGCGCACAGCAGATATATAAAGAAGAAAGAGGCAAAAAAGCATGAGAGAGAAAAGAAAGAAAGAAAGAAAGAAAGAAAGAAGGCAGAAACAAAGAGAAGGAAGAAAGAGAGAAAGAAGAAAGAAAAGTGAAAAAGAGAGGCAAAGAGAGAGAGGGAGAGAGAGAAAGAAAGAAGAAAGAGACAGAAGGGAGAGCTCTCTTTCTCCTTCTGTCTCTTCTTTCAGGAAGAGAGAGACAGGGAGGGAGAGAGGAAGAGAGATGGGACAGAGGAAGACAGAGAGAGACAGAGGCAAAAAGAAAAGAAACAGGGAGAAGAAAGAGAGAGAGAGCCAGAAAAAGGAAGAAAAAGAAAGTGAAAGTGGAAGAGAAAAGGTTAGAGAGACACTGAGAGTGAGAGAAAGAGAAAAATTAAAATAGAAAATGAAAGAGAGACAGAAATTGAGAGAGAGAAAGACTGACTGACAGACAGACAGAGTGTGTGAGCTCAGTGGTTCAGATCATCTCTCTCTCTCTGGGGCTGATTATAAGGGGCTGTTCTACATAATCTCCTCCACAGCATTCCGGCCTGTGTGCGCCTGTGTGTGTGTGTGTGTGTGTATGTGTGTGTGTGTGTGTGTGTGTGTGCGCGTATGTGTGCGTGTGGAGGAAATAAAGGGCGTCATTAAGAGATAAAACAGCCTCAGTTTGGACACACTCCCAGGACCAAGGCTGTGTGTGTGTGTCACTGATTTACCTACAAATAAACGTGGCTGTTTACTCAGAGCCACAGATTTATATTTTCTCTCCGTCTTTGTGCATCTATAGTAACATCTCTCGCACACACACATACACGCTCGCACGAGCACACCTACAGGGAGCAGCCAAGCAGACTGGAAATGTGATATACACAAACACGTGCAGATCTGATCCAGCCACAGGCAGCTGCAGAAACATATCTTTAGTGGACAGCTCTCCTGCCAGGGAGGCCTCATCTGCAGGAAACAGCAACACTGGTGCTGCTATTTTGCTGGATTTCAGAATAGCAAACTGCACTAGACAAACTAATGAGAGAAACCACTCTCCACAGTCTGCACATACAGAGGCACTGGCAGCAAAAGCCCAGTAATGTACATACATCACTTCATTATGGCCACTTTATTAGAACCCTTTACACTGTGGGTGCACCTCGCAGGTGTACAGTTACTCAGTGTCTGAGAGTGTGTCAGGTAGGGCTGGGGAGACTAATTGACTCTTAGGCTGGTTTTTAACAGGGAATGAAGTATTAACTACCATTTGTTAAAAGTTCACTTAAATAGCAAATAACGGGGCTACTCTCCCTGTTTACTTCTCTGCTACTCTGCACTTAAACGTGGCTACGTAACGTGTTCTATTTTTCTCGCAGCTCGCTCTCGGCTAATGTCGATTTAACATGCTCCAAGGAGCCAACAGAGCTCCCTCAGCTCGTACTAAACTTTCTGTCACACACCCAAATGAAACACTACAGCCTTAGCTTATCTAATGCAGTGTAGCATTAAAAGCTGGTGCCCGAGTCTTCTTCTATTGGACTAAAGACGGTTGGCAAGCTTTGAGTACACTACCGCCACCTATTGAGGGCTAGCTACACTCCTCACACATGCACGTTTCAACAAAGTTGTCACTCAGTCTGTTAGCAAAACTGCCTCTTCTCAATATGTTACCACAATTTCTTTGATGCCTCGCTATCCCAGTTTGACTCCCCAAACAATCCAAAGTAGCCCAGCCTGAAGCCTAGCAGTTCCCACACTGCATGTTGCAATGATAAAGTCTGCAGTTGTATCGTTGTTCACATACAGCTTTTAGATGGCTTTTTACACAATACTTTCATCAGATTAAGCCACACATCGTTTGTGGGAGACCTATTCACAAATCAACAAGCAGCAGACTAACAAAGGCAAGAGCAAAGTGGAAAGCTACATCCTCTTAGCCACCCTCTGACAAAGGTCTTCAATTTTGCACCTCCAGATTCCAGATTCCAGGAACTAAAATGATGATGTTATGATGCTCAAGCTACTCAAACACTGTACCCTACAGGAAGAAATGTACAGCTGACAACATTTTTAGGTACTACTTTTGGGTGCTACGGTCTGTAATTGTACACCTAAACATTGGACCTATAATGCAGGTCACATGGGTCAGACTCCAGTCCTTGTGGGGCAAAACACATCAGACTTCAGCATGCTGCCTCATTAAAAAACATACTTGATGTAGGTGGAACACATACAAAGTGGCCACTGAGTGAAGTACAAGGTGTGCTAATAGTGGTATGTATATGAGTATATGAGGTCTTAAGCTTAATTTCTAGTTCTGTGAAGATACATAAAAACTCATCTGTACAGACACAGATAAGTAGTAAGCGTAGCAATGGCCACAATGTGCACACCTCCAAAATCTCAACTATGTGCTGTGCGAATCTGCAGAGTTGTACACCAAGCAAGCGCTTATTGGCTATCCAGGAGGGCTGAGGGTGGGATGAGATCCGAATAACACTCGACCCGAAACAGAACTAGCACATAATCAAATGGAGCAGTTCAAGAATCAGCTGGCAGAAGAGGTGCAAAATTACAAACATTTATGCAACACATTGACCAAATACTAAAAGCCAGTGAAGAGAGTATTAATTCTAAGAGCAAGAAAAGAAAATTGTAAGACAAATACTCATGTGAAAGCATGATAGCACATTTTTAGATGCGCGGATGGAGAAGTAAAATTTAGGTTTTACCATAAATCAAGCATTTAAAAAACACACACCTCGTAGTGGCGACTTCATGGCAGCCTCCACCATGCCGACCAGCAGCTGCAGGCTCTTGGGGTCCTGGGCCAGGCCAGAGGCGAATGCAGCCAGAGCATCTGCATGCCGACCCAGGTACTGAAGGGCAACACCCTGTCGGAAGTATGCCTACAAAGAGACACAGAGGTACATTTATGTTACATTCTTTGTTTATCCAATTTACAACTTTAAAAAGTGTTGCAATTAAAAAATTGACCACAGTGGATCCAAGTACACAAAAACTCTGACCTTTCCTGTAATATAGACTGAAACTAAAGGCACAAATTCACGGAGATGCCAGTTTATTAGGTGCACCTATGCTGTCTCTACTCATTGGTCACTACCATGTTGGTGTCAGTAACTGTAACCTACGTAGTGCACCTATATGGTAGAGATATTTGACAAAATGGCTAATGAGTGTAGGTACAAGGCTGACATACCTAACGAGTGGACAGCACATACTTTTTGCTGCATAAAATAATACATTTCCACTTGTACACTGACCTATACAGTAGGGATGCACCAGAAGCTCAGCCACTGAAAATGGTCAACCATTGCACTTCTGGTTTTTGGCTGGAAAAAAGGCAGAAATTTCTGACCAAAATAAAGACTAAATAGGCTTAAAGTGTTTCCTTCACTCTCTTGTGCTGGTCAGTGCAGTTGCACTCAAACAGTAGCAGATGCTGGTAGTGTGAAACTACTTCAAGGTTTCTATAAGAGACATTAAACAAGCGATTTGATTTGACACTGTTAACGTCAAGTATCATGAGGGGGTACAACACACAAAACGTCTACATTACAGGTTTGATACCACTTGAAAACATGGCACCACATGGCATCCCGCTTGATGCACAGTATGTGAACTGTGACTATTAAAGCTAGACCTTCAATTTGAGATACAAGTGCCAAAACCTGGTCAAAACATGAGGGAAAAACCTCTGCTATGATAATGCAAATTTTTCCTAGAGGCTCTAGCAAGATTCTAGCAGTTTGCATAAACTTTTTTTGGCCGTCATCTGAAGCTTCTGAAAGACATGTTTTACCTGAAGCTTGTTAACAGATATATTAATATATTTTTTACCTTGTAGCAGGTTCACAGTGACTTATTTAGTAGAGGGGCCTGGCATAGAGCTGCTGCTGTTTTACATTTCTAACAACTTATTGATTAGGCTGCTGCTCGTATTCACAGTCAGTGATGGATCTAGGACTTCCAGAAGGCCTAGAGAGACCTTTTTTTGTCATGAAATTGGTTTCACCCATTGTAAATCAAAATGTGATTGGTTCATTCCACAGTCACTTTGTAATTACGTTGGTGGTTAATCTAAAGCGTTAAATACTTCGCTCAGGCTTTTGAAGTCCTAACAAACAGGAGAGCCTGCTTAGCTATATCTACCTAGATACCACAAAGAAAAAACATTCCCGATTGGCCAATTTTCCACTGGACTTTATAAGAATGTATCCCTTTTTCTTCCAGAACTTGACAATGGAACAAGAGTAGTACAGTAATACAGAGTTTAAATACAAGTAAGATTCTACTGAGTAAAAATGAACTAAAAATTACAGACATGTATTTCTTAGTTCCCAGAAATTGTTAGGCCTTCCCCGAAGGTCTAGTAGGATCCTCTGCACAGAATACAGCAAAACAACCAAAGCACAAAGGAAAGGCCCGGTCAGCATGCTAATGCCACCTGTAGTTAGTTATTGGAATTCTGAAAAAAAAAAACTGTTGTTTGTGCATTTTTTCACCAAAGTAATAAAAAATTAATGAAATTGCCTTGGATGACCAACCATTTATAGATTATATACCATAATCGATAAGTATATTTCAGTAAACTGTTTTGATTATCAGCCTCTTTCAGCTTTCACTGTACAAACAGTTTTTACTATATAATCCTATAGCATGTGAAATACATTACTAATTAATGAAACAGTGCTAACGTTGCTAAAAATGAACAAAGGTTATTTTTGTCAGTTAGTATAACAGATAACTATCCCTTTAACTACCATCAGTGCTAATTTGCACTCTGTATGCAAGTCTGTTTCTGAGGTCCAGCAAGAGATGAACTTCGACATAATAACTTAATTTCCACTCAGAGACATGTTTCATTATGCCGCTAATGTTTGAGTGGAGTGCTCTCCGTCTCTGGTTACACATATACACACATACCTCTGGTTACACATACACACACACACATGCTGAGGGAGGGAATGCACTGATGGCAGCTCATTCACATCTCACACACATCTCTCCTCAGCATCCTGTCTTTATTCAGCAGTGTTCAGATGACAGGGGACAGGAGAACTATGGAAAAAGACGCATGGCACTGAATTTATGAAGCTCAACTGTAATTAATTTCACTTTGAACGGTAGGGCAACCTTTGATTACAGAGACATCTTCTCTTTTCAGACTGCTTCACTGAAACGAACGGAGAGGCAGATTGAATTCAGCACATTAACCTTTAGTCTAACCATGTTATTACAGAACCTTGCAGGCCACCATGTTCACTTCACTATTAATTGCCTCAGTGTGTGTGTTACTTTGTGTGTGTGTGCACATGTGTGGTCTGTTTTACTGTCTTTATGGGGACCAAACGCCCGCACACAAAGCAATAAAACTGTCATTAGAGAGACATTACAATTTTCCTTTTCTGTTTTTTGAGAGAGGGACTGTTTATCTGGAAAGCTAGAAGAGACTAAAGATTTCCAAAATGTTGGGGTTCCTGATAGTAGCATGTATTTACAGATACACATAGTTATATAAACTAAAAGACCGTTCTGAAAGATTGTGTTACAAGTGTGTGTGTCTAGGGTCATTGGGGTGGAAACACCACAATGTCCGCGTGACTAACAGTCATGATATGCAATACCACCATGGTGAGGAGAAGAGCACGCAATTAAGCCAAAAGAGGCCAATAAGGTTGTTGAAATGTAACACAGAAAGCATTTTTTGCTATATATTGTGCCCATATTAAAGCTACATGGTGAAATAATTTAACAGTTGTAAAGATTCAACAGACAAATTTTTACATCATATCTATTTCATCAGGAATCACAATTCACCTACAGATCTTTCACTCTGGACAGCTAAATTTTCTTGCGACACTTCAAAACAAGCTGTGTGTCCATTCAAACATTTTGCAAATTTTAAGCAAATTTTACGAAAAAGTCATTTAAACAAAGTGCAAATTTATCAGCTTTTCCTGATAAATAAACATCAACAACATTTAATGAGGCCCAAATTCGCTATTTCACTTCACAGTCGTTTACTGAACACTGGCCGAACATGTTTGTACGCATATTATATATTTATTATATTTATATATTTATAGATTCAAAAAGATTCATCCGATTACAAAGCGCCATATTTTTACAACCGTGAGGCGGCTAAGAAAACAATCACATACCAATTGAAAGAGGGAGTCATAGAGTTTCTGACTGTCACTGGAAGATGGCTCCCTTCCGTCTGCGAGGAGATGGCGACCCCTGAGCAGCAAGCGTTTTGCAATCTCCACTTCAATAAGAGTAAATCCATCATAACTGCAACGTGACTTTCGTCAGCAGTGAACCTCCAACACCTCAGAGCATTCGTTGTTGGTTCCACAACACTGGATGATCTCCAAAATCGCACTGAAAGAGCTGTGAGTACAATGGCACCCGACATGCTCAATCAGTTTGGAATGAATTTGAAAATCGTGTTGTTGATGTCCGTGCAGCTGGAGGAGATCGTATTGAGCACTTGTAAAACTACACAACAAACTTCATGCTCATTTAACCATTTACAATTTACTGCATTGTTCTGTAATGATTGAAATCAATGAATCTTTTTGAATCACCCTGTATATGCATCTACATGTACAGCCACTGATACTGAGGTCTAATTTACAGTAAGGCCCTGTGAGACATACAATAAAACACAATACAGCAATATAGTAAATAGAAATAAAACATTGTCATTAACATATATAATATTATAAAAGTATGTATAGCGTTTACTGGTCTACAATGTTATAATAATGTTATAATTCACTTGTGTATTTTTATGACTGTATTCCTTTCCTGATGGCAAAGAGGTTCCCACTACTTATTTGAAAAATCTATTTCCATTACTGTTTTTCGCATCTTTCTTTTATCAATAAACCAACTTTTCTATCACATTCTAACTTTTTGGTGATATTTAGGCATTGTTCTGGATTTTCCATCCTGGTTTTCCACCAAAGAGGTTGATGGAAAACAGACAGCAAGGTAGGCAACTGGCTTTGCTGTAATGAAAAGGTAGCTAAATTCTCACATCACGTAGCTGTGCTGTCATGAAGCGATACTTCATAAGGCCATTCATGATGTTTTAATTAGTTTCATGTAATGATACTTTTAGATAGATTGCTTTTAGTTTCTATAAAGTCTTATTAAAAAAAAAAAGTTTAAAAAATAAATCGTTATGATTTAAAAACTAATTACATAAACAGAACGTTATCATCAATGTTAAAGCAGTGTTAAATGCCTGATATTGCCGTTGAACACTGTAATGTCTGTTATGGCCCTATGTGTGTCTGTGTTTAAGTTATGTTCAGAGAGCACATTTATTCAGCGTCTATGCAAAGCAGATGTATGGGAAAAGCTTTTAGACAAACTGCTCTCAGAAATGGCATCCACACTCTTGACAGGATAAAGAAGACACAGTTTGCTTCAGAAGATTCCATCCCATTCAATCCCATTTCTCTAATATGATTTTCAGCAAATGTTTCTTCTGCTACTGCATAATTGAATGAATCTGGCAAACATCACACACACATTTCCATCTCCAAGTACACTGGTTTTAAATCAGACAATTTATTGATGAACTGAGCGCTGCCAGTCTCAATTTGGCCTCCACCAGAAACCCTAATTGGCCTATTAGTAAATTCCCACCAAAGCCTCATCCTCATGTTGCTTTGCCAACTTTCATGCCTTTTCCCCATCTTCTATAATCATTTCTTTTGCCCTCCATCACTTACACTTCAGTGAATAGAGTGTAATAGGGCGCAAGTTGATTTTAAGTGTTTTTGAGGTAGGAACAGATGTGAAATATTCCTTTTTTCATCTAAACCAGTGGTTCCCAACTCAGAGAGCCCTCGGGGCCCCCCAGAGAGGC